TGGAGGCAGGATGCTGAGCGGGAGCAGGGGAGGAATGGTGCTTCTCAGTGCAGTGAGGAGCCCTGCTTCAGAGGTGAAGCAAATGCTTTTAAACCAGGTTTAGAGGGTTTGGGTGAAGAGCAGATGGATGAGAAAAGATCTCAAACTAATGAAGTGCTGCGAAGAAAAGCTTTGGAGCAGAGCTCGCAAATGCAACCCACCTTTAACTTCTCTCTTTGATTCTGGAGTTCAGTAGCTCCATGTTGCAGACAGTAAAGAAGATTGAGGAGTGAGTAATATTTAGAGCTATTTGCTCATGAGAACAGTGATTTATTGATTTATTTGTGGTGCTTGGTTGACTTTGCAGATCAGGACTAATAAAAGATGCACATGACACTCCAGCGCTCTCTAATAATTTCATCTGGACCAATGAAGTGTTCCCTCGTAGCCAAAGAAATTTTTTAAGCCTGAAGGATATGAGTCTCTGCCGCGGATCGTTCCTTTTCCATAGCTACCCCGTGGTGTGAGCGCTTCACTAGGGGCCTCCAGAGGTTTTCTTGTGAACTTGCTCTCGGCTTGTGGTGGGCTGGGTTGGTAGATGGGTGCTGTGAAGAGCTGAGATATCCCTTGTCCATTACATTGACGTGTGTGTCCAGTAGCCTGCTTTTATTAGGCTGTTAAAACTCATTTTTTCCCTAATTTCAATTACAGTAGCCTTGGAAACCTCAACACTGTTATGGCTAAGAGCATATCTCTTGGCATGAGCCACAGAGTTACGGCTCCACGGGAGGGTCACCGACCCCTGTAGCTGCCAGAGAGCTTCTGAAGGGTCAAAACTTGGGGGAGCTGGGACTGGGAGCTCGGGCAGTGGGACTCCTGGTCCTTGTCACCTGCCCACCTGCACCACCTCTGGCTCCTGTCAGGTGTATTTCAAAGTTGTTTGGAGACGGTTTGCCCTTGAGACTCTTCCCTTTGTCTGTGGGTCAGGGCCTCGCTGTACTAGGAAGTGGTGCTGTGCGAGGAGGAGCTTCTCGAGCGGAGGCAGGCTTGTCATCTCTCGGGGTCTGCTGCTCTCCGGCAGTGCTGCCTGTGCCTCTCGCTGCCGTCCTCTGGGAAGTTCTGTTCCCACCAGGCTGTCAAGTGTCACTGAAGAAGGGTTGAGAACCGCTTGGCCTCTTGCAGCTCCAGCTGCTCGCTGTGTTCCTGCAGTCCTGGCTGTTGTTGCGCTCTGAGCTCTCTGAAGCCCAGCCAGCACCAGCTGAAGGACACGGTGGACAAGTTCTCCACCGGAACGTGACCTTTCTGTCAGCAGCTGGGTGATTCTTGCTTGCGCGGAGATTTTAGGGAAGTTACTCCATGTGATAACTGCAGCAAACGTAATTGTGCTTTGCTGGATGAATTTGAATCATCAGGGCAGAGTTTTGGGTTAAACTGCTTTTCTGAGGATATTTATTTGATTTGTTTCTCAGAGGTCTGAGTTCTGTGAGGGCAGCACGTTCAAAGCAGGTAGAATTAACAGTGCTTTCCTTTGTCAACAGCAAAACCTATAATTGCAAGGTTTTTTTGAGCCCATTGGTGGCATTGTGAGGAAGCGTTGTGTTGCATGTTCCTTGCCTTTATTGTTGCATATTTTTAATGCTTCTTAATGTACATTCAGCCGGTTCTTTTGTCCGTATGTAGTTGCTCCTCGAGGAATCCTGTTCCTTCCTGTCCCCCTTCCCAGCCTTTTTACTATTACTTACTCACTTGCTTTCTTCTCTTACCTGCAGTTCTATTTAAATGAGTTTGGACTGCTAGAAATCATTACTGAAGCAGACACCATAAAAACTTTCAGCCTCAGCAGTAAATGCCAGCCCAGCCAGCTTTACTCCTGCTGCCATCAACGCTTCTGCTCTGCTCTGGAAGGGGAGCTTTTTGCTGTGGAAAGGAATATACAGTTTCTGAAAAACCTTCTAGGAAGTGCTCTGACTGAAGCGCATGTTACAGTAGCGCGGTGCTCCCCGGCGCAGCCTGTGGAGCGAGTCATTGTCTTATTTCGAATATTTCAGGAGTATTTAGAGTGAAGGTAATTACTGCGTAGCCATAACAGTACCTGGCACATGCGTTGTGCTCGCCTTTGTGGAAGGTAAGTGTGGTTACATAAATGAGCTGGGCTAGATTTGTTGATGTAGTCAAACATCTCTCTCACGCTGAGTTTTAACTCAGGTCCTGGGGTCTCTTGATGTGGTGGTTCTGGGAAGTTGGAGACCCTTCTTCCCAGGCTGGTGGATCAGTGATGACGTGATTGTTTCTTGTTAACACCGGTGATTTACTTGTTATGACAGCAATAAAGTCTGCACCTGTATTAAAGCAAGCTGCCTGTTCTGAGACCAGAATGCTCTGGCCATATATGCCTTATTAAATACTCCTAAGACTCCAAAACAGAGTGATTGCACCCACCAGGCAACATCTCAGCCCCGTGCTGGCTCCTGAACCATGCTCAGCAATCGCTTGCGATGGTGTGGGGTCCCCTAGGGCAGAAGGGCCAAGGGGCTGTGCCAAGGCTGTGGCTGAGTTGCAGGACCTGATGCTGATTTTCTCACAAAGCTGTGTCTTGGCTCACTGCTCTAGGGGGCAGCGAGAGTTTCCAGTGTTATTCTTTTCCCTGGTTGTATGCAACACGCGGTGTGGAGGCCGTGCTGTGCTCACC